CCAGGCTATGAAAGAGAGACACTGTATGTCTCTACTTACTATATACCAACTGTACACACTCTATGGTGGAAATGGAAAGATTACAGGACATAGAACTTTGAAAATTGTTATGAATACTGGAGACAATTTGGTAAGAGGGTGGGAGAAAGTGGAGTGTGTATGGAAAGAAATTAGTAAGGGAAATATAGAGGAAAGGCATTTACAGGACACAGTAATGGATTATATGTTGATGATAATGTGTTTTGTATCCTTAACTAGACTGGTGTAAAGTGTTTTCATGTTGGGTAAATTCAATTTACAAACTATGTGATTTATAGTATACATAGTGATTAAATGTATAAAATAAAATAAAATTTCAAATATAGACATTATGTCTCATAAGTTAATGAGGATGAATTTTTGAAAACAAAGATATTGATTAGCTAGTATATTATGTACTAAAAAAATGTTTAAAGTGTATCCAACAAACTGACAGATGATAACAGTATGAAGAGGAGTCGAGAAGACACCCCTGGGCACTTACAATTGTCAGTGAACTTCTGTATGGCCGAAAGAGAAATGGACTTGGTATCCTGAAATTTGCTGCTTTGACAGAGGCATTGAAGGCTTTATCCACGAGGGGATCCGCATACCGTGGCAACCCTGAACACACAAGCACATGGAGCCTCAGTGAGGCTCCACACAAGGTGCTTCTATCATTAAAAGATTGAAGTGACTGGGTTGTTGAGGGTCTTACCTGTGCAAGACCAGTACTTGATTCCAAGAGCAAACATAATCATGAAGATCATTAACATCTTCTCCATCCTGGGAACAACAATTTTAGTTCAGAGTAAATGCGATTGTCTCTCTAGAGGTTTAGGAGCAGCAGTTTTCCTGAGAGTATCTGTCTTTATAAATAGGACTTATCTGTGTTTTCTGATTGTGGTAGCCAGTAATTAAACAGAGACATTTGGTCGCAGGGTCAACATTTATTGCTGGCAGTTCCAATGGAAAGGTTCCAGTTTGAGAATATTTGTGAAGTTTAGAGTTAACCAGAGGCCTTTAACCCACCACCAAATGCATCAAGAAGCTCAGGATTCCATATATGCTCCTATTCTTTCTCTTTTGCTTTACTTCTTTAGAGAAAGGATATATTATCTACGCTCAACAAAATGGTTCATATACAACTTTTGCCTTTTTAGTTCTTTAGTCCTAATGATCTCATAGGGAAATATGCACACTTCTTAAATAAGACCCTCAAAACACAGTCGAGAATCCCTGAAATAGACAAGTGGGATTACATCAGACTAAGAAGTTTCTGCATGGCAAAAGACACGGTAATTAGTGTGAATCAACAAACCTGAGAATGGAAAATTTTTTTTAATTATGCATCATATAAACGACTTATAACCAGAATACACAGGGAACTCAAGCAGCTTTTGTGAGAAAAAATGATCAACCCTAATAAAAAATGGGAGAATGAGTTGAAAAGAACACTCTCTAAAGTTGACATACAAATAGCCAAAGGGCTTATGAAAAAATGCTCAACATCCCTCATCATAAGGGAAATGCAGATCAAAACAACAATGAGATACCACCTAACCCCAGTCAGAATGTCTAAGATTAAAAAATAAAAACAAAAAAAAATGGTAAGTGTTGGCTAGGGTGTGGTAAAAGGGGAACTCTCTTACACTGCTGGTGGGAATGTAAATTAGTTCAGCCACTGTGGAGAACAATTTGGAGATTCCTCAAAAATCTACAAATAGAACTACCATATGATCCAGCAATCCCACTCCTTGGTATCTACCCAAAGAAAAGAAGAATTTTTAGTCAGAAAAGTGCTTGCACATTGCTGTTTATTGTGACACAATTCACAATTGCTAAGACATGAAACCAACCCAAATGCCCCTGAACAGATTAATGGATTGAAAAACTGTGGCACGCCCCTGGGCCCTGTGCGGCACAGCACGGTGGCGGCACCGGTGCGGACCCCCCCAACTGGGCCCTGCACAGCGTGGCGCGGCATGGAGGTGGCGCCTGCGCAACCCCCACCCCCAGGCCCTGCGCGGCAGGGCGCGGTGGCAACGCCTGCGTGGGCCCCCCGGGCCTGCACGCGGTGGCACCGCCTGCGGGGCCCCCCCGGGCCTGCACGGCCGGAGCTCTGCTCCACGTTCCGCTGCCTCTCCGGGGCTGGTGTGTGGCCTCCGGCCTGCGCGTGGCCGCTGGGCCAGCGCCTGGCACCCCGGCCCGCTCCAGG